CTATTTTTTGATCATCATTTAACTCAAAATCAATTTATAGTCTCGGAACCCACTTTTAATAGCAAAGCTCCCATATACTCTAAAGCATCAATAACATGAAAAAAAAACATGTAAAAATAACCAACCTGAGAAAGATTTGTGTCAAATTTCCTGCTGTGGTGTCCATATCGTTTCAGACGTTTCACAGATCACAAATTGTGTTGTGTAACTAAATTTCTTTGTGATAAATTAGACGATTATGCTATTTTTCCAAAGTAAAAGATAATTTACAACTATTATAAGATACTTTTCCTATAGAAAGTAAAAAAAAATAAATTTCGTTCTTGTCGTTATAGAAGAGGGTGTGAGAAAAAAGCAAAAAAAAACTAGCGCGATATGTCATGTATATTATGTAATGTATATGTTTATCACGTAACGATCATAGCATGTCGCAATAAAAACTGTATATTTCAGAAGGAAGGTTTGCGTTAAAATAGCAGAATGATATCAGCATCAACTGAAGGTGATTTTTAAGTGCTTATTTTTTTGATCGACATACGTAAAAAATTTATATAAAAGCTTGCATTTATTTACTTGTTCAAATAAAAAAATAGATTCGTTCTCACAAATAAACAATTTACTTCTCTATTCTTCATAAATTATTTCTTGTTTCTTCCGTACGAAGAGTATAATTTCACAGATTTAAAATTGCTTTAAAAAATGGATGCTAATTCTGATTTTGGAAAATGCTTTGATTGTGGAAACGAACGAAGTAGCGCAAGGTGGTGTAATGATTGTGAAAACAATGCTTTTAAAGAAAATTTTAGAAATTGTGTTGATAATTTTATTAAAAATACTCAATTAAATGCGACTGATAGTGTTGATTATTTGGAATATATTGATTTCGAACAGTTTGATCTTGTGGAAAAAATAAACAAAGGTGGGGAATTTAGTACAATTTATTCTGCAATTTGGATGGAGGGACCTAGATGGATTTGGGATAATGATGCCGAGCAATGGACACGAAATGGACCTATGAAAATTGCCCTAAAGAGACTTAATGATTCGCAAAGTATAAGTGAAGATTTTTTGAAAAAAGTAAGTAATGTATACTTATTATTTGTTTATTGTTTAAGAGAAATTATAATATAATAACATTATTTATTGGTATTAAAGGTTTACAAATATCACCATAGTTTACATGGCGGAAATGTTGCAGATTTATTTGGAATAACTAAATATAATACTTCAAATTACATGTTTGTCATGAAATATTATGAGTACGAAGATTTATATTCATTTCTTGATGAAATCCAAGGAACGATTCGTTGGAGAGATATAGTTGATATTCTTTGGAGCATATATGGAGGAATTTTAAATTATCATGAAAAGGGATTAATTCATGGAAATCTTCATGGAGGAAATATATTGGTTGAAATTACACAAGATTTATTTGCTAATATTTATATCCCAGATATGGAACCATGTTCATTTGATAAGAAACGTTCAAATGAAATATATGGAGTTCTTCCTTATATAGCTCCCGAAATCTTGCAAGGTAATCCGCTAACCGAGGCCGGAGACATTTATAGCTTTGGAATGATCATGTGGACACTTTCTGTGGGTGTTCGTCCATGGTGTAACAGACTTCATGATTCGAAATTGGCCAGTGAAATTTGTTCCGGTCTTCGTCCTGAAATTATTGAGGGAACTCCAAACGTTTATACTCAAATAATGACGCAATGCTGGAATCCCGATCCTTCAAAACGTCCGACTACATATGAATTATATGATGAGTTAGATACTTAGATAGATGCTATTGATGATTCTGAATTATCAGAACAATTCAAAAGTTTTGATCTCATTGAAAGGCTTTCAAATTTGGAAAAAGACAGATCTCAACAGAATATCCATCCTGAAGTTTTGTATAAAAGCAGGTTCTTGTATTTTCCTGAACTGTATAATCCCCTAGTAAAAGAGAATTCTAATAACTCAAAATAATATAAGCGACAATTATTTGTATAAAACTCATTATGATTACACAATATGTATTATTATGTTTCTTTTCTTTAAGTTACAAAATTTTAATATGTACAAAGTTGAGATAAAATAGACAGTTCAACACATTCTAAAGATATAATAAAAAAAGCTATTCCGTCACCCTTTTGGTGACAGGTCCTTGAAAATAACTGGAATCATACTTTAATTTTTTTAATATACACTCATGTTCTATTTTGCTTTTTTTTTTTTTGCACAGCACGTTCGTTTAACCCACCACCTTACAAAAATCAAAATCAAAATTATTTATTTTTTTTTTTTTATTTTTTTGTTTAAAAAAAAAAAAATAATAAATAAATGATCACAAGGATACATTTTAGCAAATTTACTTCGCTTCTGAGATTAATCCCTTTACCTATAAATTTTTTAAAAAAATAAAAATAAAATTTAAACAACTAAAGTTTTCAAAGCCTTTTATAATACCAAAAGGAATAATTGTGGTAACTATTTATAAATAAAGGAAATAAGTTTCTTATCTTGTGCGCTTAGCCAATTTACAAATGTGACGATCGGCCGTTTCGCACCATATGGAAGTTAATCTATTAAAAATGGGATTTTGAGTAATTGATGATCAAAAAATAGTTACTCCACAATAAACATAGCCAATAAAAAATTTCACTAAAAATAATATTGAGTCTAATCAATTAATAAGGCGATAATTATTTTAAAAATAATGAAACTATAAAATATCTAAAATTTTGCTATTAAAATATTGTTACATCAATTTCGTAACACGAGATTTTTGAGATTTTGCTATTGCCTAAAATTTACGTCGATCATTTCTAATTTTAGATATTTGATTGACATTACACAGAAATTTAAGCATTTTTGCCGGTCAAATTTCTTGTTTTATTAATAAGCTAATAGCCTCTAAAAATTTAACCAAATAAAGTTCATTTAATATACTATAATATGAATCAAAAATCTCGTTTTTTGTTTGAAAGATTCCCGTAACCCATTTTTAATAGCACAGCTCCCAATAAATTTTGTATACCGAGAGTATATGGGTGGTATGCTATTAAAATTGAGGGAGGAAGAAAACCGGTACGGTACGGATCATATGGTGTGATCGGCTATTAAAAGATTGTATGATCTGTAAGATGATTTTAATTGCCGATCACCCATTTTCAAGTTATATTTCTTTATGATCATATAAGAAGTTAATTTTAAATAAAAGATGAAAAAAAAAAAGAAATGTAAATTACTACAAACGTCTTTGGATTGTCAGAAGAAATGTTTTCAACATTAAATTCGTTTGATTGGATATGCGCAACACAATATAAGAATTAAACATAAATAAAAGAAAAGTTTTATAATAAACTTTCTATTGACTTCCGGAATTAATCATACAAGCTGATAATTAATTTTAATAACAAAAAAAATTAAATGTAGCTAAATACGTAGTTGAAAGCAAAAGCATGAATTGGTATGAATTGGCAAAAGATTCTTAAATTTTAATTTTGCTCTATTTGTAGTAATGAAACAAAAAAATTATCCGGTTCAGATGAAATACTTAACGGATAAATTTATTATCATGTAGTCATACAATAATTTTGATTTGCTGTTCGTGCAGCTGAATTATTTCCATTATTTTTTGTGAATCCATTTATTACCATTCTTAATTACTTGGTTATTTCGATAATTCTTTCCGAAATTATAGATGTGAACTAATTAATTTGACAAACTGGAGTATAATATTTAGTCATCAGGTCAATGCTAATTTTTCGCTAAATAATAAATATCAGTAGAATGATTGTTAGTATAATGATTAAGGAATTCTTCAGTTTCACAAGACATTTGACCAATCAAATACGTCGAAATCCCTTAGGAAATCTGTATTTAAAATACCTTTTTGACATGCGCCACAGGCAAGTTCTACCTCGAACTTTTAAATATGATTATGTGTGTAAATTTACCCGCTCTTTGCAGTAGTAGTAAGGGAGGAAACTTTTGGACTTACTTTACTAAAAAATTTATATTTAGTGTAACATGTCAACACGATTCAGATGTGCTATGTTAAATTTGGCAAAAATATATTATATCATTGTTTTAAAACTGGAAAAATAAAATCTTATAAACTTTTCAACAAAAAGTTTATTTAAAAACTTTTGTAAAGTAAAAATTCAATCTTATTTCCTATCATACATGATTAATTTGAAAGCTCTTCGGAAAATTCGGATGAATTAGGCCATCAATAGCGCTTATCCAAGTTTAGTACAGTGAGACCTCTCCAAATGCACCCTTTCTAAATGTAAATGCACGCAATATATATTTTTTCTATAAATTCACACTCCACACAACCAGGTATATATATATATCATATAAAATTTCTCTCTTTAAATGCACACCCTCTTTAAATACACATTTTTTCAAATTTTCACTATGGGTCCCAAGAGGGGTGCATTTAGAGGTCTCACTGTAGTTGTCACGACTTGAGGGTTCAGAATTCTTACATCGTGTCATTAATTGAGTATATACGTTTGGAGTTTTAATTTCAGGAAAAATTTCACAGGCAAATTTCGAATCATGTGGCATAATATACCATGGCAGAGAGAGTCCACATGATCATTTCCAAAACTATAAATATCTAAGGCCTCGGTTAGCTATTTTCCTTGCAAGGTTTCGGGAGCAATATAAGGAAGAACTCATTTGAACTTTTTTTTATCAATTAGATACGGGGATATAAATTTCCAACTTCAATTTAATATTATAACACCTTCCAATATTTCTATATTATTTTCGCTTAATTTCGAAAAAAAACTTTGAAGAAATTTTAATATATATATATTTTTTTTTAAAAAAAAATTGCGGTGTTAAAATTCAAATACATCTAGGTTCTTCTATCCAAATTATAGAATAAATTGTTCTAAATTCCCCACTTTTGTTTATTTTTTCCAAAAGTTCAAACCAAATAATTTACACTCTAAGTCGCAATCAATTGAGTATAATTAAAAAATTATCAACATTAAGATTACCACTTTTCCAATTTCTAAAATTTCTTTAAAGGTATTATTTTCACATTTCACACCATCCTTCGTTGATTCTTTCCCGCTCTCAATCAAAACATTTTCAAAAGCTGGATATTTTTTTTATCCTCCCACAAAATCCATAAAATCAGTGCCCATATCTTGTTTAGAATACATTTTTGGTAAAATTTCAATAACTAATATGTCTATATCAATATATAAAATATATAGTTGTTCGGTATGATAAATATAAGTAATCGTGAATCCGCAGTTTCTTATTATTAAATTCGGTCGGAAATTCCTTATAGAAATAACTAACCTAGTAGTTTAGCGCTTCGATAAGAAGGGTAGATTTATTTAATTTTTGTCGTTAAACTGTAAACAATTTGTAACATTCACCCTTTATATATTCAAAAATTAAGCTCAGCTCATTCTTTATTTACTGTAAAATAAAAATTTTGTGTTTCAGGTTCAAATGATCATTTCTAAAAAAAAAAAATTCAGAAGTCAAAATTAACAACCAAAATATTTCTTGCACTCTAAACAAACTTGCAGAACAGGTAACTATACATATAGCAAATAATATAAAAAATATGTTTATTAAGCTTTATTTTAGTAAGGTAACTTTTTTTCGGATTCTCATGTGATCATCCACAAAAAGATAAAAGTTACTACATAATAGAACATGCATTAATAATTGTCGTACCCATCATTTAAAATTTTAACTGGTTAACTGATTTAATAATTATAGTCGCCACTGAAATAATTGATTCTGAATATAATGAAAACTAGTTATATTAAATCTCGTATCACAGAACTGAAATAAATTTTGAATAATTTTACGCAAAAACCGTAATTAATTGTTTGTTATATACATATGATTATCAAAGCGAGATAATTTATAGTCATTTATACTTTGTTTAATCAAAATGATAGAGGATGCATTAATTTTTTATCAAATTTTTAAAATTTTCGTAATTTTTGCATGTTTTCGCAAAGAATAATTCTTGCAAAAGTAATTATCCTATGTCACTTTTTCATATGAAATTTTCTTCATTCAAGCAAAGTACCATCTTTGCCATAGCAACCTAAGTCAGATTTAAATCATATTGAAGAACTTTTTTCAGTTATTAAGTTAGGATTCTGAAAAGTAAACCTAATTTATCTAATACCTAAAAGTCTTGAAGGAATATATCAAAAGTTTATATGACTTTTCAAATTCAGGCAGTCATTTCTTTGAAAAGAATGTCATATATTTGATATATTTATATATGAAAAATGAAATTATTCAATATTTTAATTTCATTCCCCTGTCCTGTATATAATTAATATACTAGGTAACACCGTGCGCTATCCTATTCAAAAGTTCAGGATTTATTTGTGTTGCCTAGAGGTAAATGTATCTGATAATTAAAAAAGGAAACATGCAGGGATATAATAAATGATGTGACGGAGTGAAACACCAAAACATCAATTACAAGTACAGTAAATTGTCCTCCGCTCTCCGGACAATTAAACGATCACATTATTAAATGTACAATTATTGCGGTAGTATCTGATCAAAAAATTCGCAAGTAAACTCTTGCATTTTAATTTTTTAATATTAACGTTAATTTATTGATTGAACAATTTAGGAAGAATTATTTTCCTTAAATCCTAACGAATTGATCCATATAATATAAATGCTATCATTCTATCTCATTCTATCACGTGTATTAATTTTATAGACCGACTGTTTATATTGAACAGTACGATTATACTCAACTTTTAAGAATAAAAATGCATGCCTGCAATCAGCCGTTAATAATTAACTTAAATTAGTCGCTAAGATTTTTACTAATAGAATCATTGAATCATCGACAGTATAAATAATCCTATTATGATTTCTAAATTTCAAAAACAATAACCGCTATATTTATTTAATTAATACAGCCGTATTTTATGAGATAAGGCGTGGTCATCTAAGAGAACTGGTCAAATATAGATTAAAAAATAGTATTTAAAGTACATTAAATACAAATTAATTTACTTAATTATTAGATATTTTATGTCTATTCATTGATAGATATGAACTTTATTATGATAATATAAACATTTTTGAAACTTATGGTTTAATTACTTATGATTTACAGCTTAATAATACTTATGTCTTAATTGTTATAGTAGAATATCATATTGTTTTTGTGATTTCTATCTTCATCGATTAATTTTTTCAATTTTGATGTTTGTTTTCGAAAATTTTAATCGTTATATCGTTATAAATGCCAATCATAATTGTTGCGAATAAGTCGTTTGTAAAATTATAGAAGTTTTTTATCGCTAATAATATTTAGTTTTCGAAAATTTTTGAAAAGATTTTTTTTTTACAAACGTTCATCATTTTTATGCAATTCAGGGAAACTCAAGAGCCTGCTTGTATAAAAAGCCTCATTATGGATTCTTTTGAGATGAAAACCATAGATTTCTAAATTTGAAAATGTTTTCTTTTCAGCAAGGTCAAACTGATCAGATAATTCGGACTGATCCGGCTCGTCACATGCAGTAATCCATATTCCTAATAAGTCATATATTTCAGATGCAGTTGGACGTTTAGATATATCAGAATGCCAACATTGTGTCATTAATTTAACGTAATCGTATGGGGTTCCATCAATAATGTCAGGTCGAATGCCATTACAAATTTCACTAGCTAATTTAAAATCATGCGGTCTATTACACCAAGGGCGAATACCAGCAGAGAGTGTCCACATGATAATTCCAAAGCTATAAATGTCTGCGGTCTCGGTTAACGGATTTCCTTGAAGAATTTCGGGAGCTATATAAGGAAGTACTCCATATGTACCTTTCTTGTCAATTGATGAATCAATAAACTCTGAGATACGTGAATTATTGTTATATGGATCTTGTTCATCTCCAACAAATATATTTCCTCCATGAATATTTCCATGAATTGATCCATTATCATGAATATATTCAATGCTTCCAGATATTCCCCAAAGCATTACAACAATATCTTTCCAATAAATCTTTCCTTGAGTTTCATCAAGATATGAATATAAGATTTTACTGTCATATTTCATAACAAACATATAATTCGAGGTATGATCTTTAGTTATTCCAAAGAAGTCTGCACCGTTCTCACATTGATGATATTTATAAAGCTTAATTTAGAATTATTAAAAAAAGGTATTAATTATAAATTGATCAACAATATACAAATAAAGTATTAAAGCCCCTTACTTGGTTCAAATAATCTTCGCTTATATTTAGCGAATTATTAAGTCGCTTTAGAGCCACTCTTATGGGCCCATTACGTGTCCATTGGTCAGCCATTTCATCCCAAATCCATCGAGGACCTTCTATCCAACTCGCTGAATAAATTATGCAAAAGGCACCGCCTTTATTTGTATTTTCTATAAGATCAAATTGTTCAAAATCTATATATTCTAAATAATCCACATTTCCAGTTGCATTTAATTGAGTGCTTCTAATAAACTTATCAACATTTATATTTTCGCTTGTCCAATTTCCAAAATTTTCTTTAAAGGCATTGCTTTCGCAAACTTTACACCATCTGTCACTGATTTTTTCTTTTCCACAATCTAAGCATTGTCCAAAAACAGAAATGGATTTATTTTCTGATTCTCCTATTAATGGCGGCAAAGTAAAATCTATAACATCGTGTATATGCAAGGACATTCTACTGTGAAAGAAAATCATGTTAGTATGTATGTAGTTGCGAAAAATAAAATCTCTTAAGTTTTAAAAATAGGAAAAAAGGAGGAGAATGGAATTGACAATTTAACATAAATAGGTTAATGATGGTTAATGTTTGATTTTAAATCTTAAAACCAGTCAACATTTAAACAGTATTTTTATCAGAGACTGCAAAATATGTTACACAAAATGTTGATGCATGAAGTCCGTGATACGGATTGTTTTCTTACTATTAAAATCAAGTTAAAATAACATGATTTTAATAGCAAACCACACATATGGAAGGTTTGCTGGGAAATAACATTCTTTAGACTAGATATTATTATGATCTTATAGGGTCATTTTACTAGCGAATATCAATAACCTATATAAAATTTCGCGGTCCATTATTGTGGTATATAATAAATAAAATAGAGAACTTTCAAGTTCATAGAACTTGTTCGAACCAAAAGAAGTCATAAAGTATTTTAATTATTAAAGACTTACTATTTTATTTAAGAAGAAGAAAGTAGCAAAGCGTCTTATAAGTTTTAATGAAAATGTCTAAGCAGAATCGATATTTCTCGAATTTGATATAATTTATTAATTTATTAGATATTTATACTTTTAATTTTTTTTTTTTTTTTTTTAGATGTGGTGTTGTAATAAGTTTATTTAGTGATTATGAATAATTATAACTGTACATGTGAACGATGATTTTTTAGGATTTAAACTTTAATGCCAAATTAGGCAAGATGGTTGGTTTCGAAATTTACACCAATAAAAATGATATCCAAATAAAATGATCTGCAGAAATATCTTAACTTGTAAAACTGCACTTTTTTTTGATCCGTGTAAATTCAGGAGCTTTTTATTTTTTTTTTTAATTTTATCTTCGTAACACGTCTTCTGGCGCAACTTTTCTAAAAAAAAAAAAATGATGAATAGCATAAATGAACCAATTATCAAGAATATTGAATATAATCCTGATGGTACAGGAAATTTGCCTTTTGGTAGGATAGCAGTGATTTTGGCGAGTATTTTCATAATTATGATAATGAAAACTAGATCCATATTAAAATATTCAATAAAATAAGATAATCTAATAATAATTATCACGAAAATAATAAATCAATCATATAATTTAACAATTTAAAAAGGACACGTTTATCGAATCAAAAAACTACAATTATCGAATCAAAAAGGGACCTGAATCAAAAAAGGACAGCTACAGGTTACACGATTTGGTGAATCAAAAAAGTCCGCATTGTGAATCAAAAACGATATATTTGCACTTATTAAGGAAATAATTTCGGCAAATGGAACTAGAAGTCTAGAAAATAAAGCAATAATTTAAAATGATTTAGAATTCAATATTTCATATATTTCACTTTCACTAAGGAATAATAAATTGTAGCAAACTTAAGCTCGATTTGATTATCTAATTTCATTATAAATTTAGGTTTATATATTATCTAAGAATTTCTCACTTTTTATAATGTTATAATTCTTATTTAGAAGAAAATATAAAATGTCAGATTTCGAACACATATCTCAGTTGTGTTTAGGGCGTCTATATCGATGGGGCGGAAATGATTTTCATTAGTCAGGATTATTTCATAGAGTTATGCTGATTGGTTAAAATATATCATTGTTGGAGTATAAAATGAGGTCGCTCAAGCACTTCATTGGTGTTATGGGTAGAGATAATGGTTGCACTTTTTTTAGTTTTCATATTGTTCATATCGTTCTATCATATCGTAAAATTAAGAACGATAAAAGCATGAGAAATATCCTGGTACATGAGCATCATCTAAAAATCACTAGCCAATGAGAAAGCTCTTATTAATGTTTATCTACCGATCACTTAATTTATGCAATCAAGGTTAGATTTTTAGATACTTATGTCACAAATTTGCATGTAGTACGCAACTTTTTTGAATTTTGTGAAAATCTTATTGTTGAATATTTTGTAAATAATAAATGTCATAAAGGATAAATTATTTTATTTGTTTCCGCTCACATAATTTAATCAAATATCATTTTTTTTATGTTGAAAAAGAATTATTTGGGACTTTTACTTTTAATAGCCCTCATTTAGTGCTCCGAACCGGTCGAATCGACAAGGGTTATTGACCCGAATTATGTTGTCGAGTCGGGGTTGAATCCAGGACTTTTGAACAGACGGCGCCTCATACCCCGAGACCTTAATTAAATCATACTACCTGATTCTAATTTGTACTACACGAGAAATTTAAATTATGAACTTTTTGACTAAAACTTATTGAGCAGTAAAATTATTTACTTTTTTTTTAAAAAAAAAAAAATTATTTAGAAATAAATATAATTTGGCTTCATAATATTGGTAATTAATATCATGCCAAGCAAAGCGAGTTTTTTTTTATGGTGGAACTTATCTAGCAGCAAAACATTGATGCATATAAATTTCGTGTATGTATGTGTTGAAATCCAGATTATGAAGTTATTATTTATCGATGCACTAGCTTTAATATTGTATACTATACAATAAATAATTTCAAATAAAAAATTTTTGTCTGAATGTTTCTATTACTTTCTGTAAAAATTCCGTGAAAATGAGCCCTTCACGGAAAAAACTTGGAAAACAAACACGGATCAACTTTTTTTAAAGGGTTATTAATTGAATATTTTATTCAATTTTAATAGTAACTTATTTAAAATTCAATATGTTAATCAGATAATACTAAAAATGGTAAATAAAATTAAAAGCAAGAAAGTAAATCTAATTTATTACTACTATCCTTACTAACTAATTTTCAAATATGAGAATTTCTGTTGCAATAATTTGTTTTTTAATAGGTTTGGTAATGTTGTAACATTTTAATTGACACCGAAACCCACCATTTTTATATCCAAAATACAACAAGGATTTATTGTCAGTCTAAGACGTTTATCTTGTTAACCGGTTAAAGATTTTTTTTAACCGGTTAAAATATCTGATGTTAACTCTGGCCTTTCGGGCAGAATTAAAATTTTTTGTGATTAAAAATTTTGCTAGTTTTGCCCAAATTTATAGTGCCGGCCTGAGTTAAATTTAACCGGTTAATTAACCGGTTAAAGAATTTTTTGACCGGTTATTAACCGGTTAAGATGTTTGGGCCGGTTCAAACCTCTAGTCCAGTTGCATATTATGACCGGAAGATGATCAGTGGACAAATTGGATATTGACCAGATTTGATAAAAAAGTTTTTTGAATTTTTTGAACTGATCCAATCAAATAAGTTAACGTAACATATGTGCAATCTTACAGTCTTAATGAACGATTGATTGTAGATAAGATTTTTTTTTTTTTTAAAAATAAAAAATGAATAAATTAAATTCGATGCGGATAAAGAATTGCGGTTGTTATAAGAAATGATTTACGATCAAATAGCAAACCTCCATATGATTAACAATTTTTTTCATTTGAAAATAAAGCAAAAATTTTTTCGTACGGACGAATTTATAATCAATCGATTGTCCGAAGAAAATATATTATTCGGATTAACATTTGATTTTTCACAATCACAAGTATATTGATTAACCATGATCATTTATTTTATTTATAAATAATTATTTTTAAAGAATAATTATAACAAATTTTGTAACAAAAAAAAGTAATTTAAAATCAATCGATTACGAATTCATAATCAATTATAATATTTTTAACTTTTTTTTTTTAACAGCTAGTAATTAATTTGTTATATACAAATATTAACATTAATAATCCTAATCAAAAAAATATTAAACTAATAATGTTCGTTGTTAAAATGTTTCCAAACTATTTATTATAAAGAACTTCTTTACGGAAAAGAAAAAATACATGGAGTGATCGTCGCCAAAATCAAAGGTTGGAACCGGTTAATTTTTAACCGGTTTAATCTTAACTCTGGCCAAAATTTAAATTTCGGGCAGAATTAAATTTTTTGTGATTACTAGTTTTGCCCAAATTTATATATAGTACCGGCCTGAGTTAAATTTAACCGGTTAATTAACCGGTTAAGGATTTTTGGGCCGGTTCCTCTAAAGAAGAATATTCTCGTATTACGCAAAAGACTAAAACGTAATAAAAGAAACATTTTTTTTCTCATAATTTAATATACATATTATGCAGATTTGGAAATATAAATATTTAATTACACGAATATACAAATATTTAATCACATGAATATACAAATATTTATCATGAAAAGAATAATCCCGCTTAATCATATAAATTATGAACAACTTGTCATGCAAAATATGTAATATTAAATATTTACATTGAGATATTTAATGATAAAATGTCATGTGCAGGAAAGTATGGGGCGTAACTAATATTTATATGGGTCAAAATATTTACTGAATTTTGATAGGCTATTTGAGATGAACAAAACAACGGAACTGACGAAATCTCAAAATTAATTTAATTCTGGTTAAATGGTATATATGAAATTTGAAACATAACAACACGGAAAGTATTGAACATGACTAATGTCACATCTAATCTGTGACAATTAATAATTGTGGAAAATAGGTCGTTTCCAGATTAATTATAAATAATAAAATTGGTGCACCATTCAAATTGAGGACAATAATTGATGGCTAATTAGCTAAATGGCATTATAGAATTTTACGCA